CTTGCTTGGGTGCCGAGTTGAAATACCCGGACACACACACACACACACACACACACACACACACACTTACACACACATATACACACACACCGGGGTCGTCGGAATATGCGTATTCGCATTTGCATATTATGCAAAAACGCTTAAAAATGTGTGAACAGACCGCCACACGCTACATTTATTTTGTGAAATCCCGTTGTAATTATACTGTGAACAAAATAATTACATTCCATTTTCGAGCATCATACTGTTCTGGATGAAATCACGACTAGTTAGCAAAGCGCATAAGAATTTCAATCGCGATCATTATATTTGCACAGTCTTGAGACAGTCGAATGGTTGCTGCTTTGCAATTTAACATGTGAACTCATGCTGGCTTTGTATTTAGGAGCTCCCTGCATAGTGAAAGAACAGAATCGATTGAAAGAGCAGTGTTGCATTGTGCGGCCGCGTAAAATCTTAGCCTTCAGTATGTATGATTATCGAAAAGAGAGGTTGTCGACAAATATGTGCCCTCAAATTCGCCGTATCGCGTGACTCAGGCATTTTTCGTGGAAACTAATTTTACGATTCTAGTGACTCAAAAATTCGATTTTTGAGCAATTTAGTAAAGTCAGCATTCTCGTCAAATCTCTGTTTTCTCGGCCATCTGATTAATAAGAAAAAAAGCATGACGGAAGTGCTAAAATTTAAACATTTGACGCATCCAACTGCAGGGCATATTCGAAAGTAAAACCTCATTTTACGCTTACAAGTTCGCACATGAATAACATCCTCATAAAATACTTTCGAATAATGTACTGCTTTGAATGAAGCTCACCTGCGAGACGTACAAAAAATCAAGTTCCCATGCGTCTCAAGCATGAGCACGTGAAAGTTGACGCCGAAATTTTGTGATTCCGCTTCAAAATATTAACAGCAGAAAATTTACGGGCATGGTTCGCAGCAATATGCGATGGTTTTGAACGAAAAATTCGATCGATGCAAACCTTGCTTCAAATCGGAAACAAAATTTCACTTACTTCAAAGTCGTGTGTTGGTGGCACTCGGAGATCAAACCCTGAAATTTTAGAATGAACAAAGTTATTTGTACGACTGGAAGTCGAACAATGTAGAATTTCACTTTGAAAGCAGAATGGCGGTTGAAAAGAGCAAACATACAAATCACAAACTACAAATAAGGCAAAAAGTGCGCAATTATGCACGCTGTAAAACTCTAAACAAAAAAAAAAAAAATAGCGCACAGAGTTTGGCATACAAATATTAAAAGTATAATAATTCCCGCGTTACGATTTAACATGTGGACTCGTGTTGACTATATTTTGGATTTTCCTTGCATGCAGAGGGAAAAGGGCGTCAGCTAAGGTGGTGAGGCTGCATCAGTGAGCCGGGTGAAACTCCAGCGCGCATAACTATCAGTTTTTATGCGTTTTTGCTTTGCAGCGCTATAGCGCTGCTACAGTCGAGAGATTATCTGTGCGCGTGTGGATATGTGTGTGTGTGTTCGGAACCGAGTGAACTTGTCACCCACTTTGATCTCAGTAACCAGAAAAGCTCGGAGGCTGAAATTTTGGATATATGTTCCTACCTCATGTACCATCCACCAGTTTTAAGTTCTTCCCTCCACACGCGCTTAGATCTCGCGTACGGACCCCGAAAAAAATATGCAAATTTCTTTGGCAAGAAACGATTTCGCGAACCAGGCAAGGTACAAAGCCGAAACTTTGCAGGGATATTCTCTATGCATGTGCGAGCTAAGGATTTCAAATTCAGCTGCCGCGTACGATTACGTCAAAGTTTTTGCAACTTGGTACTGTGCTAGCTTGAAAACATGCCGGAAAACAGTGTCTGAAATTTTGTCAGCATATTTATCGCCCATACAGAAAATCATATACCTAAAATGAGCACCGATTTGCACTTGTGCCATGACTTAGGGCACATGAAGGATATTTGTAGCGAAGTGGATATTTCGCTTGCCGGATAAGGTGCGAGACTGAAACTTCACTGGGATATTCTACTTTCAAGTGTGGTCTTAATTCTGCTTGAAAGTGAAACTCCCTACAGGTGGGCATGAGAAATACTCAACTTTTCCAAAAAACTAGAAATGAGTGCGTTTTGCAGCGAACGACTGCCTCATCCTCTCTCAACATTCAACTCGCTTACATATTTGGATTCTTTGACGAACGGCCGCTCTAGCAACATTTTTACTTTTCAGTGAAGAACTGGAACTGGATGTTGGGAGAGGATGAGAGCAGTCGTTTGCTGCAAAGTGCACTCGCTTCTGAGTGAAACCTGTGTAAAAAGCTGAACAAAAACACATGCTCGCACTGGCTAGCCTGATGCGTTCCAGCCTGGGTCAATGCTGTGATCAAATTATTTATCACGCCTAGTGTAAGGGATTTCGCTCAACCTGTATTAATTCATGCAAAGTTTCAGCTTTATATCTTGTTCGATGTGCGAAGCAACCAGTTCGCTAAAATATGTTCGACATACCGAAAGGAGTGGTAAAGTGCAATTTGACACTCTATTCGGGTACAATATTTCCCAAATGAGCGACAGATATTCTGACAAAATTTCGGCTGTTTTTTCTCCCAAGTTTTCGAGTTCGCACGGTGCCAACCCCGAACTTTGATGTTACCGTACGCGCGACGCAAGTGTGCGCAATAACTTATTTGGAACTTTTAGTTAATATATGCATAGAGAAGATCCCTGCAAAGTTTCAACTTTCTATTTCGTAGTTCCTGAAACCGTTTCCTTCCAAAAAATTTGCATACATTTTTTTATGGGCTCCGTACGCGAGATCTAAATGCGCATGAGCAGTGATTTTAAAAACGGAGAGAGACACACGGGGTGGAAATATGCTCGCAAAATTTCAGCTTCCCAGCTTTTCTGTTACGGAGTTGAAAAGTGAGTAAAAAGATTCACTTGCTTCTGAGCACACACATACATACACTCACATGCATGGACATCTTCTTGACATTTTTGCATCTGGATAATACGCAGTAAAATTCGACGAGCTTAGCTCATGACAAAAATTTTTGAAATTAGAAATTAAAACAATAATCTGAAGTCTGAAAAGAAATAATCAAAATTTTAAAATGAAAACTTACATACTTTTATCTCGGCGGGTATCACATTTGCCTGAACACCGCCCTGGAATTGCGACGCATCACTTCAGCTAGCTGACAATAATAAAATTATCCAATTCCTGGCCCCTTTTGATAATGAAAGCAAAACGCATAAATAATACACGTTCGCTTGCTTTGTTTATTTTACACGGCTGCTATTACAGAACGAAATTGTTAACCGATGCACTATCATCAGTCTCTTCTTTCGGCGAATTAGTTCCAGTAAGTTATTGCTCGCATTTTGCAACCAAGCAGTAAATAAAATTGTTCGCAAGGTTTCCACTCTCCTTCATTACTGCAAATACAAAAGTACCTCAATTTTTGTTAAATTGACAGTGACAACGTCGCACGCTTTGAGGCATTTATTGCTTTCGAGCAATTTCTTCTGCTCCTCCCTGAAGCCCATAAAGCTGTTGATCACTCTCTGCTGAAAATTCAGCACTGCAAAATCAATGACAAGGCGCCTGCTGACGAAACAAAAGTAGTGCTGAGAAGCTGTCTGCAGCAGACCAAATGAAACTGTATTTTCTATTTACTTACCAGCTTTTCTCCAGCGGTGTTCTCCAAAAACTGCGAGCCATGCCCCGCTTGTCCTCGGCAGCAGACTACAACCCCTGCAAAGAGCCACACAGATTAAGCAAAAAAGGATAATGCAAATATTAATGTTTTTCTTTTTTCAAGAGCATATTAGTGGAAAGAAGCCAGAATTGTGGCACTAAACAACATCTGGCAATCTGAAAAAGCTTATTAAAACAAATAATTAGGGCATTCTGAATGGCAGAGCATAAAAGAAGAAGCTGAATATGAAAGTGAATGAAAGAGAGAAAATAGGTTTTAACGTGTAGAGTGGGCATTTAGAAGCAAACAAGAACGTACACCATGGACACTTATCGGCGAAATACACTTTGAAAGTGTCGTTTTCAGTAGGAAGGCCCTCATCAAGAACAAATCCAACATTCAGCTTCGCAAATTTGGGATCGTCTGCAAATTTTTCCATACCATCTGCACCACCCACTTCTTCTTCTAAAAATAATTTATTGAAGAAAAAGAGGGCTGTGGTAAGCAGTGTAAGAGCCGAAAAAAAGAAATGACCTGGGCCCCAGACGATGTGCACCGTCCGCAGAAACTTTTGCTGGCCTCTACCGAGTAACCGCCGAAGTGCCTCAACGTACTGGATCCCAATAGATTTCATATCCTGCGTACCACGGCCATAGATTTTCCCGTCAACATCTTTCACTGCCTCGAAAGGAGCAAATTTCCAGCACTCCTACAACACAGTTATAAATCAGGTGCATAACTGGAAGAATCGTCGTGCCGCTTGTTTTATTCACTTTTCAGTGCTTCTTCAGAAGGTTTTACAGGCAAGTACGTAAAAAATAAGTTAACTGCCGTGGACCAAAGACAGTTGATTCAGCAAACGCATACCTCACTGAAAGGAGCGGGAACAACATCGGTGTGTGAATAGAGCATCACGGATGGAAGTGACTCGTTACGACCACGCAAAGTCATGATAACAAATGGTTTACCAGGTACACACTGCAACATAAACTCGAGACCAATGTTGCACCCAGTATCAGTTAACACTCCTCTGATTCTCAATTTAACAAAGAAACCAGCATCCAAAACTTTTCTTTCGCAACTTTCCTCGACATAATTTTTATTATGCGTTTTGTGCTGTGTAACAGCAGTACGAAACGCATATTGTTACGGGGTTGTCTGTGTGTGT